GTGAGCCGGCTCTTCACATCAAGTGAACCAAGTACTGGAACTTCAGCACCAAACCTTCCAGTAAATATTCAGGGTTGATTTCCTTTAGGTTTTGATCTCCTTGCAGTCTAAAGGACTCTCAAGCGTCTTCTCCAACACTACAGTTCAAAAGCACCAATTTTTTGGCATTCAGTCTTCTTTATGGTCCAACTCTCACATCAATACATGACTACTGGAAAAACTGTAGCTTTTACTATATGGACTTTTGTCGGCAAAGTAATGTCTCTGCTTTTTAATACACTGTCTAGGTTTGTCATAGCTATTCTTCCAAGGAGCAAGCATCTTTTAATTTCGTGGCTGCAGTCATCATTTGCCTTGGGAGCCCAGAAAGTGAAATCTGACACTGTTTCCACATTTTCCCCATCTATTTGCCATGAAGTGATAGGACCGGATGCCATGATCTTCGTTTTTTTGAACCTTGAGTTTTAAGCCAGCTTTTTCACTCTCCTATTTCACCTTTGTCATAAATCTCTCTTTAGTTCCTCTTTACTTTCTATCATTAAAGTGGTATCATCTGCATATCTGAGGTTGTTGATATTTCTCCCAGCTTGTGATTCATCCACCCCAGCATTTCACGTGATGTACTCTACGTATAAGTTAAATGTGTTTTCCAAGGATCAACTGTATAAATTTAAGTCCGTAACCACTAACTCAAGTATATAAGAGATGTCCTCATTTGAATTCAGATCTTCATATCTGGCTAGTTGGAAATTTATTCACAGTCATTAGATGGTTAGGACAAAGGCCTCCTTTTCCAAGGCTTGAATGAGATACAGGCTTATGTGGTACCTAAAAAAATTGGCTTTCACATCTTCAGTTCATCTTTTTCACTAGTAATATATCCTTATTGTCTAGGATGTATGGTCTTTTGGAAGCTGGCAGCTCTGCTGATTATCCAAGCTTGAGTTAAATATTTGTTGATGCCAAAAGCCCTGGTGCCACGTAACTGGCTTAGCTAAGTGCACCATCATGGAGCGTGTGTGCAGGTGGGCAGATTGTTCTCTTTGTAAGGGTGCTTGACTGAAGGAAAGAAGAGAAGCCCAAATCTACCTATACTGCACTCACCAAACTGAGTTCTCTCGTGGCTGAATTAGCCCTGAAAGATTGCTTTTTTCTCATTCGTATAGAGGCACCATATGAACAAGTTGCGATTCTGATTACCACTTACCATCCCCTAGGTTCCAGACTAACCTCTGTATCCCCTCCCCTTCTCCTTTGGCTGACAGAACACTGACTACCAATTTTGAGAAGCTTGGTTCCCTAATTCTGGGGAAAATCTCTCTTTCATTTCTGTCTTTTAAAAAATACTCACCCTTGACACTACTTCTCCTGGACATTTTACGTAATCTCCTGTTTGCTTAGACTTGCACAAAAGACAGAAAAAAGGGATGTTTTCAGGAGGCCTCTTCTCTGGACCCTGCTAATATTCTGGAAATGCCTGACAACTGTCTTGGAATTGGAAGGATGTATAGAGTGGGAGATTGAGAAGTAAAAAGAAGCATAACACAGAATTCCCATCCCTGTAAATTTCAAGTGAAATATTAAGCCTAATTTTTATTTGTTTTATATTTTTGTTTTCTGTTTAAACATTTTGTTTTGTATTGGGGAATAGCCAGTTAACAAACACTGTTGTGATAGTTTCAGGTGAAGAGCGAAAGAACTTAGCCACACATGTACATGTATCCATTCTCCTTCAAAGCCCCCTCCCATCCAGCCTGCCACATAACATTGAACAGACTTCCATTAATTTTTAATTGATAAATTTTATAATTTTAATTTTGAGTATCTTTATAGCATCCTTTATACAAAATTTATAGGGTATCTATGGGCTTCCCTGGTGGCTCAGAGGTTAAAGCGTTTGCCTGCAGTGCAGGAGACCCGGGTTTGATCCCTGAGTTGGGAAGATCCCCTGGAGAAGGAAATGGCAACCCACTCCAGTATTCTTGCCTGGAGAATCCCGTGGAGGGAGAAGCCTGGTAGGTTACAGTCCATGGGGTCACAAAGAGTTGGACACAACTGAGCGACTTCACTTTGATACTTTGATCTTTAGTAGGAAATCACAAATAAAGTCTATGGTAATTATGGAAATTGATAAGTTTTTACCTCCCTCCCAGCATTATAGAAATTATACAACTGAAAGTTTAACATGGTCCAGTCATATCTTTTATTAAAAATTTCTTGTTTATTTTATATGTAATTTTGCTCTATTTTATTTTGACATAAATTAACTAAATTTACATTTAGGGTAAGGGTTTCCCTGGTGGTTCAGAAGATAAAGAATCTACCTGCAATACAGGCAAGACAAGTTCGATCCCTGGGTCGGGAAAATCCTCTGGAGAAGGAAATGGCAACCCACTCCAGTATTCTTGCTTGGAGAATTCCATGGACAGAGGAGCCTGGCGGGCTACAGTCTATGGGGTAACAAAGAGTCAGACAGGACTGAGCAACCAACATACACAGACATACATACATATTTAGAGTAAGCTGTCAGTATTGAAGTTAGAAAATAAATTCATAATGAACTTATATGTTTAAATAAAATGGGCCAGGAACAAAATATATTTCTGTCAATTGAATTTAGAACTTGTAAAAGAACCAACAAAGAGCATTTATGTTTTGAGCAAATATATTTTTGTCAGTTTATTTAGCTAAATAAAATGAGAGATGTAGAAGATAGGGATAAACAAAAAAATCATAAGAACTTTGGTACTACATAAGGAGAATTAAAGATTTTATTTTTACGAAAATTGGAATGAAAGGTCATTTGTCCCCTTTCTGCTTTCTAGATACGGTCTCAAGAAAGAGTATATTTTTTGTATATTTTTACTGTGTAATATGTATCTCTGATTTATAATGCAAATGACTAATCTCCCAAATAAAAATTTGGGAGAAACCTAGCATCTAAAATTCAGCCATTATAATTGTTTTGACTCCTAGGAGAATTACTGCAGAGAAGCATAATGTGTATAAGAGGCAGAAGAAGGGTGACATCCTCTGTGAGAGTGTTAGGGTGAGGGTAGGGGTACACAAGTATTATAGCATACTTCAGCAAATTGATAGTTAGAAAGCGACATATCCATATATGAGTGAAAAAAATGGCCATGGAATAAGTTATATCCAACTCTTTTGTGACCCCATGGACTGTAGCCTACCAGACTCCTCTGTCCTTGAATTTCCCAGGCAAAACACTGGAGTGGGTTGCCATTTCCTTCTCCAGGGGATCTTGCTGACCCAGGGATCAAACACACATCTCCTGCCTTCGCAGGCAAGTTCTTTACCACTGAGCTACCATCAAAGCGTGTGTGTGTGTGTGTGTGTGTGTGTGTGTGTATGTAACTTTTTTTCAGGAGAACTAATTTTCTTATCATGAAAAAATGGAAAGTTTTTGTGTACTTTTTTTAAAAAATGCTTAGAATATATGTTAAAAACATCTTTAAAATGTTTAGCACTGTGTATACTATATAAGTAGAGTCTATGCTTATTTGATGATTAAGTACAGAGGCTTTAATTACATAGAGTTAAATGTTGATCTAAATGTTTCTCTTAATTTCCAAATTTATCATAAATCAGCTATATAACCTTGGGCAAATTGCTTAAGTTCTTTGAGCCTTAGTTGATTCTTTAAATGGCGATGATACCATACCTTGTAAAACTGTTGTGAAGATTAAATGTGATGAATTATGAAGTTTAAATGTGATGTTTATTAAGAGTTTATTTTAGTACTCGACTCATCTCATGCAGTAAATGTTATTTAGCTCAAGCAAATTGAATATAGCTTTTTGTTGCATAAAATAGCACATATATGTCTTTTGTTAGACTTATATGCATCATTTTGGAGAAGAAAATAAAATTTTTGTATGATCACTGTGTCATTTTATTTATGATTAAACTTTTAATAGGATTCTTTCTTTTAAAATTTTTTCTTTGAGTTTAATTGTTCTTCAAGTTAGCGATCATGTGGTTGCCAGGCATTTGGAGGACAGGGCATTTCTGCCGCGCTCAGTCAGTCGCTGCGACTGTAAACAAAGGATGTGCGACTCAGAGTCAAGCAGCATTCCACATGGGTGGTGGAGGCGATAACAGCTTAATTCCTGCTGAATCTTTTCTTTGCTCTCGTGAATTCATACTGACCTTGTCCAAAATCTGATGACCTCCCTATTTTACTCAACCATTTGGAAAGGCAGGCTGCCATAGCTGGCCCTGAGGGGGTAGCTGAAAGACCACTGAGTCACTGACCCATGTCAAGACTGGATTTCAAGTCTGATCTGTAGGACCTCTGAAATAATTATACATGGGGCTTATTGTACTCAGAAACCTAACTGGTTGCATTTTTGTGCTTATTAAGTATCTTGTTTAAGTGTTTTGAATGTCCTTATTTAAGTCATATTTAGTTTAATATTTCTCATGCAGGTCATTTTCTAGACTAATTATAAAGTTTGATCTTTTATCAGAGTTAGTGCCTTAAAACTAAACTTGAATGTTTCGAAATGTGAACAAAATATATCATTACACCATGGCTAACTTCATTGACTATCCTCCTGGTTCATGATGGACCAAAGCTTTTTAATGTTTATAAACATTTTGGTTTTTTATGGCAAAAATTACATATACCTAAACAAAAAAATTTAGTTTAAGCTGTTGTTAATATTGTGACATGTTAATCTCTGTTTATGTTTTCTAACCTCAAATATTACTCAAATGTTGGTATTTTAAGGGTTTTCAGGTTCTAAGAATTGTCATAAGGAGAGCATATGACCACCCAGTAAGGTGGTTTTTTAGACTTGGTTGGATGTGATCTGTCAGCCTGATAGAACTTTGTGATATAGCTGGGATATGAAAAAAAGAAAAAAATTTCCTATGTTTATTTTATTCTTCTGCATAATAGGAAATGTTTAGCTTTTTATAAATACCTTCAGTATTCCACAGTTTATAATATGACTTTGTCTTTTATTTTTATATAGGAGTTGATCCCTGAATTTTATTATCTCTCTGAGATGTTTGTCAACTTCAATAATTATAATCTTGGAGTAATGGATGATGGGACAGTAGTGTCTGATGTTGAACTTCCTCCTTGGGCCAAAACCTCAGAAGAATTTGTTCGCATAAACAGATTGGTAAGTAGGAATCATCTACTCTGTCTGTCATGAAACTTTTCTCAAACTGCATTTCATGTGTTGGTATAATCATTAACCCTTACTCTTCTGATCAAACTGTAGTTGATAGGGATAACTGAAAGTGACATGATAGTTTATAAATCTCTGTGTATACTTTATAAAATCTTATTGACGTGAAAGGTATAATGGTTTCTTTTAGGCAGAATTTAGGCTACTTTTATATGAGTGTGATGATTCAAGATTATAAGTGAAAGCTACAAGTGAATTTCTTAGAGAATGCTATGCTTTTTGAAACACGAGTTTCTTGTACCATTAGTAGTACGTAATTCTGTGTTCCAGGTTAGAAGGCCATTGAGCATTTTGACAATAGAAACAAGATTTTCAAATTATAACCTGTGTCTATCTTTTGAAGAAAAACTTCATGTAATATTTAGGATAGGAAAACTTTAAAATTTAAAGCACAGTCCTCACTGTGCTTACAAAACACTCTTAAGAATCCTCCACTGGACTCTTTAATGTCCCTGTTTTATGGGTTCTAGATTATTCTATACTAATAGGGCTTTTCCTTTTTGCCCTTAACTTTCATAAATGCTGGGAATCAGAAAGCCTTATTCTCAGTTTTTTAAAAGTAGTATCTTTATCTTCATACTAAAAATTGAATGTGAATTTCATTGTGTTTTTAAATTTACACCAATACAAAGAGAAAAATTTTTTTTTGGTACCACTAAGATGGTAGGCACTGAGAGTAGGCATCAGAGGGCAGACAGACTGCAGCCACAATCACAGACAACTAGCCAATCTTCACATGGACTGCAGCCTTGTCTACTCAATGAAACTATGAGCCATGCCATGTGGGGCCACCCAGGATGGACAGGTCATGGTGGACAGTTTTGACAAAACGTGGTCCACTGGAGAAGGGAACGGCAAACCACTTCCATATTCTTGCCGTGAGAACCCCATGAGCGGAATGAAAAGGCAAAAAGATGGGACAGTGAAAGAGGAACTCCCCAGGTCGGTCAGTGCCCATATGCTACTGGAGATCAGTGGACAGATAACTCCAGAAAGAATGAAGAGATGGAGCCAAAGCAAAAACAACACTCAGGTGTGGATGTGACTGGTGATAGAAGCAAGGTCTGATGCTGTAAAGGGCAATATTGCATAGGAACCTGGAATGTTGGGTCCATGAATCAAGGCAAATTGGAAGTGGTCAAACAGGAGATGGCAAGAGTGAACGTCGACATTTTAGGAATCAGCAAATGGGTGAATGGGTGAATTTAACTCAGATGACCATTATATCTACTACTGTGGGCAGGAATCCCTTAGAAGAAATGGAGTAGCCATCGTGGTCAACGAAAGACTCCGAAATGCAGTACTTGGATGCAATCTCAAAAATGACAGAATAGTCTCTGTTCCTTTCCAAGGCAAACCATTCAATATTACAGTAATCCAAGTCTAGCTCTGACCAGTAATGCTGAAGAAGCTGAAGTTGAATGGCTCTATGAAGACTTACAAGACCTTCTAGAACTAACACCCAAAAAAGATGTCCTTTTCATTATAGGGGACTGGAATGCAAAACTAGGAAATCAAGAAACACCTGTGTAACAGGCAAATTTGGCCTTGGAGTACAGAATGAAGCAGGGCAAAGGCTTAATAGAATTCTGCCAAGAGAATACACTGGTCATAACAGATACCCTCTTCCAGCAACACAAGAGAAGACCCTATACTTGGACATCACTAGATGGCCAACACCGAAATCAGATTGATTATATTCTTTGCAGCCAAAGATGGAGAAGCTCTATACAGTCAGCAAAATCAAGACCGGGAGCCAATTTTGGCTCAGATCATGAACTCCTTATTGCCAAATTCAGACAAAAATTGAAGAAAGTAGGGAAAACCACTAGAGCATTCAGGTATGACCTAAATCAAATCCCTTATGACTATACAGTGGAAGTGAGAAATAGATTTAAGGGACTAGATCTGATAGACAGAGAGCCTGATGAACTATGGA